TTTGTATTTATTTCGGTCATTTTGTTTACTTTTTTTTACTCTGCAAAGGTGGCACAGAAGCGCTTCTGAAGTGGACATTAGGATTTCTTTCTTAACATGCTGCTGCTCAGAGGTGCATAAATGCATTTACACAGCAGTTGAGTTAAGGTAGGTCCAAGCAGGCATAATTTAGTCTTTTTGGGCTTTTATGCGATATTCCGTCTTTTTAAGCAGGCAGCAGACTTGACTCAGCTGTGTAACGATGCCTCAGGTCACATATATACACTTTATTAAATAATTAGAAGAATAAATGCACTTTTTATGCAAGTATTTGTGTCTATATAGCACTAGGGAATGGGAGGTGGCTATAATTCCCAGCATGCCTTGCAGCTCCAGTAGCATACAGGCTATTCCTTACTGTTTCACAGTTGCCTGTCCTGTGTGTCGTTTATGTGGTGTTAGTCTAAAATGCACATTTGCAAGTGTTGGTGTTTGGTGTAAAGCAAAGCTTTGTAATAATCATACACAGTCTGTTGATATTGCTTTTTTTTAACCAGATGTTTCAGAGAGTGATTGAATTGGTTAGAAAACTACACACTAAGGACATCAATGCAAATGAATCGCTCAAATCTTTTTGTGGGTTTTCTGTGGCAAGCTGTGAAGACCTTTGAAATAACTGAAATCTGAAAACTGGTGAAGTGATATGAAAGTTTAATGCGGTCTATCAGATTCAAGCATTCGACAGACAACCCAATGATCAGGCCTATATAGCGTATAGATTCGGTGAATCGTTTCTTTATTCAGTGGGTTCATGATTCGTCCGAATGGATCTGAATCCCTGAATCGAATCGGTGAGGAAATGTCAGTAGGCCTACTGTAGAGCGCGTTTGGATTGATGTTTGGACTTGACTTTGTGTTCAATGTAATTTAATAAATAAATAAAAACATTGAACCTTTTTGTTAGGACACACCGCTTGCCCACGTACTGCACTGTTTAGAAATCAGACTAAATTAAACTTCTAGATTGACTCCTTTCCAGACCGTCATATTTACAGTAGGCCTACGTCATCATACTTGTAGTAAGTGTCTCACATACGAAAGCAGATGCTGTGGTTTTACAGCTTCAAGCTGAACCCCAAAGATAATGGCAGCAGTCAAAGTTTTTCTCCTGATTTTGTTTATTTTCCCTTCTCAAAGTGGTAAGAAAACTCTTTTTTGAGTCGAATTTTCCTAAATTTTTATTCTTACTGTGCATTCATTGCATTCACTTGTCTGTATTAGATTGTAAAGATAGTAGCTATTTCTCCCTTACGAAAATTAACCATGGTTTTATTATAGTAAAGGAGTAGAAACCATGTTTTTTCTTGCCGTAGGCTTGATTACCATTTGTATAGCCACAGTTTTACTAGGCCTATAAATGTCATGGTTAAACTATGATT